CATCTGATCATGCAATCCTTAAGAACAAGACAGGATTTTAGCTCTGGAGAAAATAAAAATTGCCCCTTTTTTGTTTTCACAAGTCACAACTGGTGTTTTATGGACTCTAAGTGTAAAATGTTCTTATCCGTATTTTATGACCCCTTTTATTAAGTTTTGTGCCTGTCTAATTCTAGGATGGTCCTAGAACAGATCCATCTTGGTTTGGACTTTTAGGCTGATTGGTCTCTTAATGTTGCCTGCGTGTGTGTGTGTGTGTGTGTGTGTGTGTGTGTGTGGGTGTGTGTGTGTGTGTGTGTGTGTGTGTGTGTGTGTGTGTGTGTGCAAGGTTAATCCTACGATGGCAGCCTGTGCAAGGTTATCTTGAGTGACCACTGGAGATAAACACAAGCCACCTCTCTTCTGCAAAAGTCTTTTAAAGTTTATTTTGTCCTGAGAACCCAAAGGTTTTTCCTGGTCTTTTGCACTAGTGGCTCTATTTACTTTGATTCAACATCCGATGAAAGTCGGGGTTGATTCACAGATAAAACCCAAAGTCTGCCACTACTTCTATAAAAAAAAAAAGAAAAACTTTGAACACATTTTTTATGTATTCTTAAATGATACATTTCCAATTTGTGAAAAAACCAAACGTTGGATCAGAACTTCACTTCCACTGCTGCAAATTCCTCCTTAAAATTCATCCCCCAAAAACATACAACCAACAGCGTAAACAAATGGCAAGTTAATCTGTAAAATAAATAAACCACAAACCGTTTTGGGTTCTGCTGTCATTCCTTGATCTTCTTGTTTTGTGTATTTTTATTTATTTTTTTCTATTTTGGGACCTTTGGAGAAACACTTTGACGAGTCCTCCCACCTGTCCATCTGCTTGTGCACACACACACACACACAAGCCAAAGAACGCAGTCAAGGGCAAAGGGGAATCTTGATCTGTGTGTGTGTGTGTGTGTGTGTTTGAGAATTGTTTTTCGAAGGGGGTACCGTGTGAGTCAGTTTACATGATACAAGGTCTGGACCAGAGCCACAAGATTTCAACTTACTCCCAAAAGGCTGCTTCACCTTTTCTTACTTTCATATCTCACATATGCACCCACAAACACACGCATACACACACTTAAGGTTGCTCTGACAGCTACATCCTCCCCTCCCTCTCTGAAACACACACACACAAACCCAGCTATCACACAGCCGTTCCCTTTCTGCTGACCAGCATAAACCCTTAATGCCTCAACCCAAGGACAGCATGCATGCGTGTGTGTGTGTGTGTGTGTGTGTGTGTGTGTGTGTGTGTGTGTGTGTGTGTGTGTGTGTGTGTGTGTGTGTGTGTGTGTGTGTGTGTGTGTGTGTGTGTGTGTGTGTGTGTGTGTCTGCAGGGGCTCCTGGGGGCCACGGCTCTATCCTCCTCTGCTCCAGCCTGCTGGAATGCCAAAACCAGCCGGCAGGGTCAACGAAGGAGTCAAAACACTTCAGAGGAACGAGGAGAGGGCAGGCGGCGTTGTGCATTTTTATCACATCATTGCATGTTTCCGAGCCGCCGAACAATGAAACCAAACCGGCTTCAGTTTGAAAGCGCCGACATAAGTTAAAAGGTGGATCGTATTTGTTGCTGTAGAGGACGGCGATGAGGGGAAACAATACGACTCAGTGGCACTGAACCTGGAGGTTTACACCGGCCGTGTTTTCACAGAAAGGACGTCTGGTTTGGTTTGAAGAAGTTAGTAATTATTCTTGTTTGTCTCAGAGAAACTTTCAAAACCTTCGAAATAAAATACAGGGCGGAGAAAAGAGAAATCACTAAAAAGCGTGCCAGAGAAATTACAAAGATGATTTTGCAAATATGCACCTCGGTTTTACAAGCAGGCACATATGAGTAGAAGAAAAGCCGTAAGGCTCCACTCTTGAAAGTAAAATCCATGGGGCTTCATGTTAGCACTCAGCGTCAGACTGAGCGCTAACAGCATTAGATTTACATGAAAATATAATAAAAACTCTTCTATCCTGGCAAATACCATCAACTGATTTGTTTTTTTGACTCATTTTATGTTTTTTAGAATCAAAAAAATATGGTTGATGTTTTATTGAGCCAAGCACTCTGCGGTGGCTTCAAGGCTTTTCTTGAAAAGTGCGAAAACGTGTAATTAGCTTTGCAAAGCAACACGCTGCACCTGCAATAGCCGTTTTCGCTGACATGTGGCGCGTGCCAAAGGTCATGCAGCGATCCAATCCAGAGCGACTGATGTTACAGCAGCAGTAACAATATTTCACACGTGGCTTCATTATGCAAGAGCAACGCTTGTCTGGTCACACAACTAGGATGGCAAAGACAAAAACATTTTGTCTTTGTAGTCACATTGACGCAGCGAAAGTTTTACTGAATGGAGTCAAACTCATTTTCATTTTGGGCCAAGATAAAAAAAAAATCTGAAAGTTCTTAAAGGGCCGGTTGTGCCAGAATATATTGATAAAACCAATTAAACTATTAAAATATCAATAAATAGCTGTTCCTCCTGGATTTTAAGATTGTTTTAGTGTTTTTTGCTGTCAAACTAGCAGATTTTGTGGTGCCAATTTAGAAATGTTTGTAATTATTTTTTTATGATATTTGCTGCTAATTGTGACTTTTTATTACTCGCTGTATCAATTATAGACAATCACTTGACATCAGGCCGAGGCAGCGGCCACTTGAACTCAATGTTTGTGACCAATTTTGAGGAAATTTGCAGTGAAAATAAAAAAAAAGTGGAGCTCTGGCGATTTTGTGATGCAATTTGTGGATTTGTGGAAAACTGGAAGAACTCGTTGATGTAACTTGGAGTCTAGATGGGCCACGTAAAGAACTACGGCGGGCCAGATTTGGTCCCCGGGCCTTGAGTTTGAAGCATGTGAAATAGAGGATAGAAGACTAAGTAGGAAGCATAATTTAATGTCCTTAAGCTGGTTTACTCCTTGTATTCAATCTGTTGAATTATGAATTTCTGCAAGAAAAGAAAAAAAAAGTAAAATACCCTGCAAAAAAAAAGAAGAAAAAAGAGTGTGAGTGTGCGTGGATGTGTGTTGAGCAGAGCTTCCAGCATCCTGAGTCCTCTGTTGGGAAGGGCACAGTCCATTCCTCCTGTGTGCAGGTGTCATGGCTGGACCTCTTCATTTGCATATATTTGCATGGTGTCAAACGGAGCGGCTGCTGACAGCTTCCAGAGCCGACTGTCTTCCTGGACCCCAGCCCAATCTTGTCGGCTCAGTTACACGGCGAGGCGAAACGCGGTGCGGCCGGCTCGCAGCCAGGCAGATCAGCCTCCGGTGGAGGGGTTGCTCGGTCGACAGCCGTCAACGCCACCGACCTTCAAACGTCAGGGAGGTGGAGACAAGCGGACACCCCTAACCCTAAACCATCCAGCAATTTAGAGACTCGGACCGTCGGCATCTACTGCAAGATGACAAGACGGCTTCAACCACATTGTTGGTGTTTGAGATCCGTACTCGGATCGGAGCGGAGAACAAACCGAGGAAACCTGGAGAGCAACAAAGGAAGACGTATTCTTAAAATGTCAAATGTTTTGAGAGGCAACAATGCACTGCAAAAACACAAACTCTCACTGAGTGAGTTTGGTCTAGTAGTTCCTGGTGGAAATATCTTAGTACACTTGAAATAATGTGAAGCTCACTTACAAATTACTTTTCAGTAAGTAGTTTGTTCTAAGTCCCTTAAAGTTGCAGAAAAAGTACTTGTTCCATTGGCAGATCATTTCACTTGTAACGACGTTTGTCTTATATTAAGTGAAATAATCTGCCAAGCGCATTTTCATCATTATTAAAGAATTATTAGCATAGAGCAAGCTCACGTATCTTGCTGAAAAGTTCCTTATAAGTTAGTTTTGGCTCATTCTAAGTGTACTAAGATATTTGCAGCAGAAGCCAGAATCAAAAACACTTGGGAACAGTTTGTGTTTTTCGCAGTGTGTGGCCAAACCTCTAAAATGGACTTTAACAGGTTTTGATTGAGACCACAAGAACACGTATAACCTCCATGTTTGAAAGAGTAACACCTCTCACAGTTCCCACTGTACAGTTGCACTGCTTTCCAAACAAATTCTTGAGAGAGCTGCTTTGATTTACGCCATTTTGATCTGTAACTGTCTAAATCTGAAGCGCTCCATAAAGACCTAAACTATAACTCTGGCATCTTTCAATAGATTGCAAAAATTCAGTGACTGTTTTCTGTCAGCTTGAGCACATCAGCCGAAAGACTTTCTTTAACCTAAAGCTGAAATTAATGTCTGTGCCGTTGTGTCGGTGATTCGTACCTGAGAGTAAAACCAAAGATGACAGAATGCAAAAAGCTGCAGGTTTTGTTTTTCTTCCTCTGGTTAGTTCTTCTCCCTGTCAGCAGCAGGCTCTTGTGCGGTCAGAACTGAAATGATCTTCAACTGCAGTGCACACAGACCATGAGTTTTGGTGACTATTTATATGAGTTTCCAAATGATATATTACATTATCAAAACCTATATGGCACACTTACTGTTTCAGATAATGAAACAAACTTTACAAAGACAACCTGAGGAAATATAAAACCCAGTTTATTAAGAAAAGGGGGGACCGACAGTCTAAACCAACCAGCAATTGATAATTGTTGATCTTGTTAAATGATGAATTAATTGTGAACAACCGCAGATCTGTAATTTTAAGGGTAACCGCCAACATTAATTAGGCAATGAAATCTGAAAAAGTAAGACGTCAGACCTCGGTGTAGCGAGATGTTAAGACCAGACGTGACACAAAATCCCTGATGCTGTGGAACACGAGCGAGCAAAAAGCAAGAATCCCCAAAATGGTGAAAACGTGGAACAGGCGTGAACCTGTTCCACGTTTTTTGGCGGGACGGAAACCCGTCTAAGGGAACGTCTACGGCTCGACCCAGAGGTCATTAAAGAGCAACATGCCGAGAACCGTAGGCCTCACTTGGTCATGATTCAGCAACAGGAAACAAGACTTGGGCAAAGATGACGTGCAGGAAGAGGAGTCCCGAATGCTATGGTGGTCAGGTGAGAACATAACTAGCTGTTACATTTGGCCAAAAAAACCATCTTGATGATCCCGAACATTTTGCTGTGCGCTCTGAATGAAAGAGTGTCGGGTCAAACCAAGGCAGTGTTTCAGAGGAGGAACATTGCAACAATGTCTCCAGCAGCCACTGGGCCTGAGGCCAGCGCGTCATCACAGGGAATAGATACATAGATGAACAGATTTACTTTACTCTGTTTCTCTTCCATGTCCTTCCAATCTTTCCCCTTCACCCCTGCGAATTAACACAACAAACCAAAAGGTGATTCATCTGTCCAGCCTGCGTCTGACACAAACTGCCCTTTACCCCCCTCCGCTCACGTCCTTCTGTCCCCAAACACGCTTTTGGCAGTACTTGCCTGGACCTTTCAGAAAGACTTGTTTGGTCCCAGATTTCTGGACAGTAGGTGCCAAGAGACACCGAAGCCAAGGAGTCAAAACCGGGGCCTCTCTCTTTAGTTGCTCCCGCCCTCTCATCTCTGCCTCCTCGGCAGGTGTTTGTCATCCCCCGCTGAGCCAAACAGACGTGTGTTTACCAGTTTACTGTAGCTGGCCGGGGAGGCTTGTCGGCTCGCGGGCCAGCGCTTTGTCTCTCACACTGTGAAACACAACAGCAGTTAGACTTCTCCCTGACAGCATGCTAATCGTCTGATTTAACTCTCCTATGTTTAATCATGAGGGGAAACGCAGGGAGAGAGAGATTATGATAATTGCCTCAAAGTTCTTTTGTGCTGGACCCCATCTGCACACTTTTAGAGTAAGGTGTCACTTTCAGCATGTGTGTTTCGTCTGTTTATTGACGACGGTGACAAAATGTTTTTCAGTTCTGCGAGAGGAACCTGTCATTGAGATCCTCCGATAACGAAATACGAAGAGGTAATCGGACACGAGGAGGCGACCTATTTCCTTTTCCGCTTACTTTCAGGGATTTCGAAGTTCAGCGGTCCCGCTCGGTGCAGGTAAGACATGAAGAACTACGGTGTTTCCAGAGGAATCCAGGCCCGTTTGGGAGTCGGACCCACTTTGTTCTACCAGAACATTTGGGGGGATTTTACAGACACCTACGGTGTGACGAGCCGCCGCGGCAATCCGAGCTCTCTGTGACGGAGACAATGCCGGGACTATTGGACCACAGACGCAGAAGTGTCGCGGCCATCTGTCTGCATGCTCGCACAGAACAAACATTGTGCCACACACAAAGACCCGCCCACACACACACATACAAACATACACCACTGCCACCCCACAATTAACCAAAATCAACCCACATAGTCTGAGGAAATGTCCATTCCATAGAGTGATCTCAATATCAACATCTATATCATTGAAAATGCACTTATTTATTCATATTTTAAATGCTGCGGGGGGGAGTTTGGACTACAGTGAAGCTGAAAAGCATTTGCAGTCAAACTTTCTGCTACTTTTTCCCATGTCGCCTGACCTTTAGCTGCAGCCGTCTACAGTAAGTTGAACTGTAAACACTTTATGACTGTGATTATTTACAACGCGAATTGGTGCAGAAACAGAATTTCTCACACAAATAGCATTTTGGGTAATGTTTTTAACAAGACAACATAAAAGCTTTTTAACTTTGATCGAGTTAAAAAGTAAAGAATAAGTTGAATGAAAGCGCCAAGTCGACTGTGAGATTGTCTTAATAAGAAATGTTATATATGTATATAATTCCTGTGAAGCAGCCAGTGTGTTTCAGGTTAGCACACTTTGCTGACTTTAGTCCACTTTATTTCATTTAAAGCAAAAGGAAAAGTGTAAAAGTGACAACATGACAGTATTAGTGAAAAGGTCAGTTCAACTAATACTGACACAACTCACCATACGTTCCCCGACTGAACCGTCAGACACACAGAGACCTTTATGAGTAAAGATGCCATCCAGCGAGCAGAGACAAAAGGTGAATGTGTTTCTGTTCATGTGCAGAACAGAAGAATGAGATCGGGTCAACATACAGTCTCAGTCACAGATGAATATTGAAAAGGCTTCAGCTTGAGAGAGATGCTTCTGTTCTGTGTGTGTGTGTGTGTGTGGGTGTGTGTGTGTGTGTGTGTGTGTGTGTGTGTGTGTGTGTGTTGGGGAGACATAAAATACAGAAACAGAAATAATAATAATGAAATAGTCTTTGCTTCCCAGATTCTATTGGTATCTGTCATTATCTGCTGATGATTTGAGTTTAATTTGACTATTAAATGCAGCTTTTATGGTCTTTTTCAATATTTATCAGTTATAAATTTAAATGTTTTGAATAAATATTTGTTACAGCCCAAAAAAAGAAAAATTCAGCTTTCACATAGGATGGGGATTGTTGTTGGTTACAATTGCTTAGATTTGTTGACTTTCTTAGACGTGAAAAGTGTTACAGGTTGATGGTTCATCCTGGTGAGGAGACAGAAAAAAAGTCCATTTATAAGTGGAAAAGACAAACTTTCTGAGCTCGTCAAGCTGAAAACGTTCCAACTCTTGGAGCTCAGAAACTTCCCAGTTCTTTCTAGAAAATTTCTGAGAATAATCTGAAAAATGTTCTCCTTTGTCTCTGCAGTCGCCTCAATGCGGCGTCGCAGCATAGCGCCTCAGCAGCAATGATGATCTTTTCTGCCCTTCGTAAACATGTAATCTGTTATTGCCCAAATGTTTGTCTCTGCAGCAGACACTGTCAGCTTGTTCTCACTGTAAACACAAGCTGATTTTGTGCATGTTTGCATATGTGTGTGTTTGTGTGTGTGTCAAAGTCCTCATTCAGTGTATCATATCAATGTGAAGACAATACAACCAGACAGACCAAACACACACCTGCAACCACACAAACAGAGCAGCCTCTCATGTCCGACCCTGAATGGTGTCACTTCTTTCTTTCCGTGTCTTTATTTTCGTTCTTTATTTCTGCCTTTTCTCTCCTTTTCTTCCTTTCACCGATTCTGAAGACTGGCAGCAACAGGCCGGCCACTATGGCCGGCGTACCATCGGCCTGACGCGCACAGAGAAGCCCCTGTGTTCAGTGCAGGAGACAGTTGGCGGTAACAGTGTAATTCACAGTGAGTGCTGTCACAGTGAGGGAAGCAGAGACACATTCACTGTCCAACAGATGGCTCGTACACGTCGGACTCTCTGAAAACCTTCTATTCTCGCACTCAGATGTTTCAAGGAGCAGCAACTGTTTCAATGCTTGCTTGTTTTGCCCGGCGATGGCAGAGAACACGTTTAACCGGCTGGGAAAATGCAGCGATAAATCTTCGGCGAAAAACAGAGACAGTTGGACGCTGACTTGTCCCCATAAATGCAGTAAGTCAATTATGAATGGTTTTACCTTTAGAAATTCTGTCAGAGAAGGAAGAATATATTCTTGCAATCTTATTATTTTTTTTACATTTATAAACATTTACATGTGAAAATCGAAAATGTCAATTTTAACAACACTTAAAAGTTCAAGAATCATAACTAAGCAATTAAATAATGACAAAGTGTTATTTAAAGCCTTTTTTAATGTTACAGCATATGCTGTTTCTGGTGGAAATTAGTCTCTAATTAGAGAAGTTTCTGAAACTACGTCATTGTAGGACCTAAAGCAGACTGATGCTGCTGACATGTCCAATTCTCTCCCAATTCACAGTGGGAACCGAACCAAACCCTTTGAGTAGCCCGTTCACCTCCTCGCCTGTGCTGGCGCTCCACCAAGAACCACTGACACAAAAACCTCTGAAGAAGACACCAGCGAGCCGTTCCTCCCTCCAGTGTAAGACTCACGCATTTCTGTTTTGGTTGTATTTACCGTGGTTCGCAATTTGCCTCCGGTCCACTTAACGTCCGCATACATGTTCAGGCTTTGGACCTCGCAGCATGATGCTGAGACAAAACAAACCAGTCCTGGGTCGGGTCAGAGGTCAGACCCTGAACTCATTGAGAGGCTTGAAGGTGACTCGAAATCCCTCAAACGTCTCGCAGCTGGAAGTTACGAGTGGAGCAAGCTCTTCATCAACCCATGTCAGGTAAAGGTAGATGGAAACAGGAGTGTAAGACGCAAAATCTGTATCTTTTTAATGAATAAAATTATGTTCATCTTTGCACTTAAGTGCAATTAAATCACTCTTATCTGTGAACAAAGAAAGAAATGGGATTAAGGCGCGAACATTTCTTAATAAACATAATCCAATGTTTCCAGGACATTTTTTTATCCACCAAAATGGAAATTTAAAAAAAATTCCTAGTTATTTCTTTACTTTCAAGACAACAGAAATGAAAGTGGTCAACAACAACAACTTTTACTCCTGGTGGAAGAGTTAAAGGAATCATATGCTCTCACATCACAGCCCAAAGCTGCTCCTTCTGCTCTGTGAAGGCAAATCAAGCTGACTAAAGTTCACGGTAGCTGTGAAGAGCGCTGCTGGAGCTCTGTGTGAAATCTTGGAAAGTGACGCGTGGTCAAGGAGAAAAACAACAGACTCAATCTGTGGTTGATGTGGCTAATATGCTCTGTGGAAACACTCGTCTGAATAACAATGAGTGTGGACATGCCCTACACACACCACACCATTGGTTAATGTAAAAAAGAAAATGCATTAAAGAAAAAACAGTGTATCATAGACGAATAAAAACATCTGTTATCTGACATTGGCAATACTCCACGTTGCCCGACTTAGCGTGGCTGCGAAGCGATTGGGAATCTGCTGCTAATCTGGCTGCAGTGTAAGAAAAAATAATCCCACAAACAAGAGAAACGTAGCAATATGTGCTTTCAGTAAGTACAATTAAAAGTGCTGCAGTCAAGCACTTTGCACCTAGAGGTCGCCCGCCCCCCCCAATGGAAAATGGCTCCAAGATTTGAAGATGCACACACGCCTCCAAATTGTGCAGACTGCTTAGATTTTTTTTCTTTTGTCCTCTTCCTCAAAACATCATCCTACAGAAATATTACAAAACATTGAACTAACAGCCTATTAAAGCCAATTTCTGTGTAAGTTATGCATGATGTAACACCAAAACTCGGAGACCCGGGCGGTTTTCTGCTGCGCTGTAAGTAAATAGCATCAATTAATGGATCATGGATGAAGTTTCCACAAAATAAAGACAAGCTTTTGCTTCGGGTTCTTATATCTCATGTTATATTAACACCAAAGCAAATGAATGACGTCAAGCGACGAGGACGACGCACCGCATCGTCCAGTCTCTGGACATCGTCTCCCTAATTAGGCAGAACCGCGGTCTTTTCTACAGAGACCCCCCCAGCAAACATCTGAAACAACAGCCAGTGTATTCAGCAATTAGCTACAGTGGGGTCCGATGGGAGTGGGAGTGTCCTGGCAGAGAGCGCAAACATCAGGGCCGAACCTGGAGACGGAGCGGGGCAGAGGCGGCTAATTTCCCTCAGGAGGGACTCAGACGAACTCGCGGGGGCCACAAACGCGTGAATACAAAACTCCACACCGGCTGACATATGCACGCAGACATGCATTCAGCCTCACACGCGGTTCCAACTCCATCTCTGCTTGATAGAAAAATCCCGGAGGGGTTTCACGGTCGGGCCGAATGTCGCTGCAAAACCGAACGTCGACCGGCGTGTTGTGCTCCGTCGTGTGTCTCTCGTCTAATGAGGCGGTGCCAGTTTCACCGGTTAATTTACCAGAAGACAGTCTCCTGCACACCGACTTGACTGACATTTTATAGGCAATTAGGGCCCCGGGAAAGAGCTGCTGCGCGCGCGTCTCTGTGTTCGTGTGCGTGCGTGCGTGCGCGTTAAGTGCAGCAGTTGGGTCAACATTTTCATCAGTTCAGAAGTGACAGAACAACCCCGCAGCTAATTCTGTTTGCATACAGATAATGGGGAGACATTATTTTAATTGCAGCAGGACTTGTAGACATTCACTTCCAAACATTTTACAAGCCGAGCAGCGAGCATGGGGGAAAAGATATGCATGTGTGTTACTACTGGTGGCTTGTGTGTAAAATGTGAGACTGTAGAATAAAAAAAATGTTTTTTTTTTGGTTCCTTACATTTTATGAACCAAAACAGGAAAGAAAAAAAAAAAAGAGAGAGGCAGAGATAGGAAGCCAAAATGGGGAGATGCAAAGTGTGTCGAAGTTTCTTGGTTTCAACATGTTGGTAAAATATTCAGGGAGGAACAAAGTGCTTGAGGAGCCTTCAAATGAAAAATAAGTAGAAATAAATAAGAACTGATTATACTACCTGAAAAAAAAGTTAATTAGTTTGAGTCCTTTATTACAGCCTTGACCAGCTGTAATAAATCTTAGGTGTAATATATCCAGCCATTCTTTCACAGATATTTAAATTTAAGCTCAGGAAGGGGAGCCCACTCTGTATCTGCTTGTAAAAAAGCTTCATTGGTGTCTCTCTTGTCCAGTCTGTCGCACCAGCATCGGTGAGCGCCTGAATCCTCCTCCTGGATGCAGATGCGGTTCTTATCGCTCCGATTTAAATGTTTGGATCAAAACCAGCTCAGGGCATTCGCCAAACAACACAACTTCAACACGCTCAGCACCGGAGAAGATGATTTAAAACCCTGGATATGCTGAACTCTAATTGGCTGCTCAAAACTGCCTGCACATTTGAAAAGTGTTGTGAAAGTAGAGCATCGATGAAGTAGTGTGGAAGCACATTTCTGCCACTTTGATCAAAAAAATAAATATTCTTATTTTAATGACTTCACTATTTCAGTATATTGACATATGATCACACTATCACGAGATATTATAATGAATAATGATCTCATGATAATATCTCATGATAAGATGATGTCATCTTATATATGAGATTATGAGTTATCTCATAGTGAGATACTATCTCATAAAAATTACATAAGATTATAATAATATACTACTGTGTCATTATCATCAGATAATGTGGCCTAAATGGGCTTCCATATATCTGTGTGTTATGTCACATGATTTTTAATATCCAGTTAAAAACTGCTTATCAGAGTTAGAAAATATGATTGTCATGACCAAATCTCCTAAAGGACTTCTTTCTAAGATGTATAGTTTATTGTCTGGCTCTGATTCCTCAGGTTATGATGCTATGAAGCAGGTGTGGGAACATGATCTGGGGCTGGCGTTTGATCCTGCAGATTGGGAGGAAATTTGTACTGGGGTTTTCCCCAACTGCACCTCGGTCTCTATACATGAGCAGAACTTTACATTTTTCTACCAAACTTATTATACACCTGTTCGCCTCCGGAGGATGTTTCCTGATGCTTCAGATCTTTGTCGTAAATGCAAAATACATAGGGACACATTTATTCATTTGTTTTGGTCTTGCAATTGTATTAAGAGTTTCTGGGAAGCAGTTCATATGATGATACAAGAGATTTGGTAAACAGTTCCCACTAACTCCCTCCTTATGTCTTTTTAATCATACTTCAGAAACTCTATTTAATGCAGATACTAAACATTTGCTTGTAATCCTCTTATTTCTGGCCAAGAATGTATATTACTGAGATGGACAGCACCGCAGGCCCCTACAGTTGATATGTGGATTTCACAAATCTCTGCTATTGTTTTAGTTGAAAAACTGACTCATGATCTTCATCAAAAGTCGGACAAATTCTGGAGGATCTGGGACCCACTGCAATCTTTCTTACAGAGACTGTAATCTTTACTTATTTTATTAATTAATTAATTTTTTATTTCTTTACATTTACTATATCACTCACTTGGCCCGAGAGTTTTTGACTATTTTAATCTTTGCCTGGGAATGTCTGCCTGTACTTTGTGTATGTAGGCTGTATGTATGTCTTTTTTTGTTGTAGTTTATTTATTTTTTATTATTATTGTTATTATAATTTTTTTAGATTAATTAATTATTTCTTTTATTTTATGTTGACACTGCTGTGCTCCATGTTTGTTCGGGGTGGGTTGTTCTTGTTTACTTGTGTTGGTGTTTACATATAGTTAAAAAAACCAATAAACAAATTAAAAAAAAAACTGCGCTGTGGAACGGATCCACTTTCAGACCCGGCATGAACCCTTTGGATGCGGCCCGATCAGATGAGGCGCCTGCCTGGACGGCCCTTTGTGATGTAATGCTGCTTGCATCACACTGCATCTCCCCCAGCTGATGACAGCCAGTTCTGTTTCCCCTGCCAGCACATCCCAGCTGCTATGAGGCAATGTAGTCTGCCAGGCACAATACGGCGTGTCACTCCCCCGACAACGGACTGGTTGTTCCCCCTGCATGGCATCATTGTCACAACTTTTTTTTTTTTCCCTCCCCTTCTCTTTTTTGGAGGAGGGGCCAGAATGGAGATGTTTTTGTTTTCATGTTTCGTTGTCGTTGTTTAGGCTAGCCCACCGTTAACCCTTGCTTCGTTGTTCGGGAGACGCTGGATGCAGCGACTGATGACACACACCTCAGATGAAGATCCGAGGCGACAACATGATACTAAAAGTATTCGATTTGCACCAGTTTGCAAATAAAAGTGAAACCCAACAACTATAGATTAGATTAGGATTAAAACAGAAGGATGAATTAGTCTCCCATCAAGATGAAGATCCGAGGTGAGGATTAGACAGGATTTCATGAACCCCTTATCCCTGTGCAACAGATTTAAAACTCAAAATCAATTCAGTCATGTACCTAGTTTGACATCATTGTGGTTTATAGACGTTCATTGTTTTGATTTTTACACTTGTTTACACATGGAGAGGTGATTAGTTGTTAAAGCTGGTAAGTTTTGCCCCCGTTAGTCGTGTAAACCACTCAGAGTGATAGTTACTCAACAATATAGAGAAATAAAATCATCTAATCAGAGGTCCTTAATTTTATTCTGCGTTCTTTGTTTTTGCACTGTCTTCTTTTTTTTTGTCTTCAAAGACTTACAATTTTGAAGATTTTTATCAGGCCAAATAATTTTTTATGCTCAAATTTATTCCCAGACCCGACAGACTTATACTTGAAGTAATCTTCTGATATTACCAACAGGCTTCATCTGAGTTGATCACGTACTGCTGACGTTTTGCAGAGACCCAGTTGCAGTTCTGACTTCAATCTGAAGAACAATTTGTGAGCAAGGCTGACGTCAGGGAGGCTTTGAAAAACCTCGCCACGTTCATCCAAATGCCAGTGGAAGCGTGTAAAATTACAAAATCTGTTTGATTGCTCTGGCGCCGATTAATCTTTGATTATTTACTTTGATTTTTTAAGTGGGTACAGGTAATTTTCAGTGTGCAATATTTCAATACAATGTATATAAAGACAAGTTTAACTTTCAAAATATATTCTGTCTTATCTTTTCAATGTCACCTGCATCATTTGTGATCAGAAACACATTTCTTGGGTTGAATTAAAATACTTTTGTTGTCAATTTGCCAATGATTTGGGTTTTCACTGTGCATAACTGAATATATGTTTCAAAGATAGGCGACATGCTATATGAGTAGATTTATCTACTTTTCTGTACTACTGTCTTCCGTCGGTGTTGAAAAAAACAAGATAAATAAATAAATGTAAAAATCTTTAACTTAGTTTCTCCTTGAAGAGATAAAAATGTCAATTACATTTCACCGAACATTTTCCAAAGACGCTCCCTTACATGGATTTTTCTACAATATGCTAAATATCCACATGTCAAATGTTATGGCTCGTCCTTTTTTTTTTCCACAATTGTGTCACGAATGTATTTACTTGGAGTCTCATTCCTTCACCTCTTCTCGTCTCAGGAATTGTCCAGCTTCTCTGTCGTCTTCCTCTACCTCCATTTTTAACTCCAATTCTTCAGGATCAATCAATCAGTCAATCAGTTTTATTTATGCTTAAAGCAGCTCAAAAACATTGATACAGTATTTTAACAAAACAAAACCTTCCGGGTTTCCAGAATGTATTTGCAGATCTTCCCCTTTTCCACATGTTATATTAAAGGGACTTGGGGGAAAAAATAAAGCAAAGGTTGGGAATGCCTCTGTAAATGTGATTTCTTGGTTTTCTACATGAAAAAAAATTGCAAAAGACTCAAAAGCATCTTTCGTGTTCTGAATTTTTAAAGGAAGAGAGTAATGCAGTAAAATTTGGAACAAGGCTGCAACACGACAAGATGGGGTAGAAGTGAAGCGCTGTGGACAGTTTCTGGACGTTTCTGGCAACCAGCTCTGTTTTAATGGAGCCTGACTGGTCGTCACTGGTGAAGTTTGTTTGCCGCGTCGTCGCACACGTCGGCGGTTTGATAACTGCCTCTGATAATGAAGCATCGCGGCCAAGACTTTGTCCCTGTTCAGGTTTCACTTTTTAAATTTTTTTTTTCCAACCTCACATGAGCGTTGAGACCAAAGTAACTCCGGCTTCACCCACATGCTCCCTTGATGTAGAGTTACACTCGTAATCCCTTCTTCTCCTCCTCCCTCACCCCTCAAATCTCACCGGTTCCCTTGAGTTTCGCCCAGCCTCATTAGCAGATATTTTCCCCATGTTTGTTAATTGTGTCCTGCTTTTTAGCACCACCTGCACACCCCACACCCCCTCCCCCGCCTCCCACAACTCCACTCTGGAGGTTTTTTCCCCTGCCGGTGGCGCCCTCCTGCCTCCCCTGCTCATCTGTGCTTTCTAACAGCCACTAATTGTCATCATAAGGATGCGTCCGCTGTCACAACTGGAGAACAGACTGTAGACCGACAGTGTGCAGCCTGGCTCCTCTGGCCCCTGGAGGCCTCTGCACTGGTGCCTGGGGGCCCCTGAGGACCTTAGCAGGCAGGAAGGCTGCTTTTGCAAGTGTAGCTAATAAAGACAGGATGAAGATTTTACCTGGCAGAGAGAGAGAGAAAGATAGAGACAGAGAAAGATAGATAGAGAGAGAGAGGCAACAAGGTCAAACAGGGGATTAAATGTAGGACCGGTCCAGTGGCCGTCTAATGAGCTGTGATGGTTTCCAGCAGCTAAATGTTACAGTATATATGTATGTATATATATTCTTTAGAGTTACTTTCAAAATAACTAAAGAAAAGAAAATCAGCTTGATGGCACTTTATCAAATGATTGTTGCAGAAGAATAAATGTTCAAAAACAAGATTTAATGTAAATTAGAAAAAACTTTATAATTCACAAACTCACTTATTGACAGAAAATGCTCAATTATAATTAAATGACGTTAAAAAAATACCCAACATGTATCCAATGTTAGTTATTTGTGTACTGATATCAAGGATCATGTTACTACTGTAAACAATGACTCAACATTGTAGAAGAAAAACCGCAGAGGAAAAAAAAGAAGAAAAATTTTAAAAACATATTTTACTAATCTGGCACAACAATCAAGCCCAATCAAATTTTAAATTGATCTGAATTGTTCCCCAAAGGATTTTTTTTATTTTTATTTTTATCTCCAGGTCTTTGATGCAGGCTGTCTGAATTTCTTTCCAGATGGAAAGAAGCTCAAATTCGATCCGGGGAGGGGAGAATGTTTATCCAAAAAAAAACAAATCTTAGGTTTTGATAACTTTTATGCCCTATTTCATTGATGATTCCTGCTCTGCTCCACTTTTCCTCACCCTTCTCCAAACAGAACCTGGCTGTCATCTTCTGTTGTGTTGTCTTGCTCTCCTGTGTCGGTCGGCGTAGTCCAAGACTGAGTTCATGTGGATTCACAGGAGGATTCGTGCCTTTTCCCCTATGAGGTGTGACGCATGAGCCGTTTCATGCTGGTGACGTTTCGGGCTAAATGCATGCGAGTCTGAACCAATGATTCACTAATTAAGAGTCATTTCCACACTTCTCAATCTTACAAAAAACAAAAAGCACAACTTCTGGAATGTGTGGAGTGAAAATGAAGATCCATAGATTATCACCATAGAGCTGCACAGCTCAGAGAAACTCTGAAGATCTTAGAAGCTCATGTGAACATCGAGAATAGAAAGTGGATGAGAACACTTTGATATCAAGCATATGAAAAGTGTTGATTTGTTGCTGCATTCTAGAGTTGAAAATGTCCAGAAGGCGCAAAATGTTTGAATTTAATTTTATGCTCACAGGAACATTTGGTAAAAGAGGGAGTCCTGCTCCTATGTTTAAACCCTGGACTTGGTGTAAAGGTGATTCACGTTGAAGTCCAGGTTTCTGCTGTCTTCACTGGTTTTCATTCTATTCAGGATATAAAGATTAAACTTATCCAACCAGACGGTTGTGTTTAGAGTCATTTCAGGCAAAAGAGATGACATGCGTATTGTTTTTTTAATGACTGTGATGTTAACGTTCTTAATGTCACGACTGACTTGTTTCAGGTTGAGCTTTATTCTTAACTACACACCAAATCGAAAGAAAAATCTGTGTTTTGTAAACGAAACAAACAACGCTTTAACAAGTTACATAAATGATCTGTTTTTATAGATACATAAAGGAGTCTATACGTTTTCTTTTTCTGCACAACATCCCTGATTTTGACATTTATGAAAACGTCATTTTCCCTGTTGTGTCTGTGTTCAGGCCTCTTATCCACACACATGTCCAAAGAGGGAATTTGTGCTTCGTGGCATGTGTGTCCCCAGCATGGGGCCGCGGCGGGCCCCGTGCCGGCCAGCTGGAGGCTCAATCTGTTGAGGGGGTCCGCCGCTCAGTGGTGGGAGGCCGGCCGGACCCACAACGGTGCCCCCGACCATTTGCCCCGGGCCTCCCCTCTGACCGGGACGTGCCGCTCGGCCGCCTCAGCGAGGGACTGACAGCTCTGCGCAACCTCACCCACCGGGACGGCGTGGAGGATGTGGAAGGTTAGACACACAGGAGGAGAGAGGAGAGGAGGGAGACGGGGTGGGAGGGTGAGGGACGGAGGCAGAGGCGGCTTGAAGAGCACATCAGAAAAGCTTCTGTAGCTGCTTACGGGTTTCCTTCCATCTTTCTATGAACTTTGGCCTCTCTGAAGTCGTGATGCTGCCACCGCCGTGCCCCGGTGCAGAGGGCGTCAGGGTGACGTCAAGTGTCGGTTAAATCTGAAGAAACTATAAGAATCAAATATGTATTTGTAACCAACTCTGGAACATTTCTTTCTTCTTCCTACTAATCGACTGGGATTTGTTGCATCTAATGGAGTTTTCTGGCATTCAAATGTCTGTTTTAAAACTTTTATGTCTGTTTGAGAGAAATTAAATAACGGATGACATTTGTTATTATTGTTTATTCATATTTGTCATTTCTGAAATCACCTTCCTAGACTTTCTCTTCTAGACTTTAAAATCCTTCTGGCACTTTCGGATCACTGACCGGCTTTGCACCAAAACACATCAAGGATCTGTTGTCATGGCAACCTTTCAGACCTCTCAGTAGTTCTGGTTCTGGTTCTGGTTCCGCTCTGCATCCCCAACAACCAGAACCCAAAACGGAGAAGCAGCATTCAGCTTCTACGCACCACAAATCTGGAACAAACGTCCAGAAAACTGCGACGCAGCTGGAACACTGACTTCATTTAAATCTACGTTTCCATTCTCATGTTTTTGTAACGTTAGTGAAACTTACAAGTTTTTCGTATTCATTTACAGTCTGTAGAAATTATGAATGAGTCAAACTTACACCTACAATTTGCACCCAGCTGCATGACGTGAGAAGTTTTAAAGGTTTTACTCATCAGAGCTGGATAAATATATTTTCACCCAGAAATTATGAACCACTGACTAAGATGCTTTCAAAAACATTCATTGTCCAAACCAGAGGTACAAGCTTGTGAAATTTTATGAGTTTCAGAGTGTTTAGTAATTTCTTAAATCTTAATATGATAAAGAAATTGGAATATCTAGTTTACTATTTCTTTGTTTGTCAGACACAAGATTGCGTACAAAACCAAATGATCATAAGTGTGTGTGTGTGTGTGTGTGCTCATGCCTTTCCTGTGTGTGTTTAGCAGACCGGCCCCAGCTCAATCTGACAATTTGATGCGGGGCATCGGGGTTGCATCCGGGGGAGGGTTTTTTAGCGGTCACCAGTCTACCGAGGGGACGCTAGCTGGCACCATCTGGTCCTGAGATCCAACGTTTAAATGGCACAGTCTTGGCCAAAGTCCATACCTGCACACACACACGCACACACACACACACACACGCATATACGAGGCACACACACACACTGCAAGGGGGTCAGGCTACCCAAGCGGCAGGCTGAGAGCAGATGTCCGTCAACCTCCCTGTCCAGTTAATTAAGCATCGCAACCAACAAGCAGACACCTCACAGGCGAACACATACACACAGATGCCGCAACGTGCAGAAGCATACTGTACAAGCCCACCATCAAGGAGCCCAACGGCTGCTCGCCCTGCCGCTTAATGGCGGCTAAAGCTACCAGCATGTGGGCTTTAATCGAACCAAAGTTCGTCCGCCTGGAAACTCTGGTTCGTTTGGCGAGGTGTGAATGCGCAGTCGAGCTCTGATGTGGACCAACAGACTGAACTCTGGTCCGCCTTAAAGCGCAGGTGTCTGTTTGGGTGAGCGCTTCGGATTGGCGTGTGAACGCCAAATGGACCGGAGACCACTCCAAAACCAGGAAGAGAAGTACAGAGCATGGCATTCTGGGTAAATATAACCAAAACAAACGCACAAATCCAGAGCTAGCGAAAGAAATGCCTTTTACCACAGACAAATCCTTCAACAGCCGAGGTCTGACAGCACTCCATGTTTGTTTACATTTAGTTTAGAAAGAAATTTCAGTGTCTTCTTCGGCGCTTTTCATGTCGTTTCCTTCAGAGGTTCTTGGTGCGGCGCCACCACAGGCCAGAGGAGGGCAACGGGTTTTTCCAAGGGTTTGGATCCTTTGACGCAGTGGAGTGTGGAAGCGAACCGCACCAGCAGAAAACGTAACAACTGTAAAAGAATTTTCTTTTCCCTAATTCAACTGCATGCAGCCTTTTAGACACGTGGCGCAAAACGCCCGAGGTTGAAATATGAAAGTCTTTTCTTAAAGTGAAGAAATAAAGTTCCTGTAAACTGTTTTACTTTCAGATTCTTGATTCTTTTTACTGTTCAGATCTGCTCAGAAACACTCCTAGTGGAATAAAAGTCATTGTGAAAATGTGCTTTAAGGATGAAACGTCACCCAAAAAGGGCAAAAATCGCGCATGACGGACAAAACGTAACATCCAGGTAGATATTTCTTCTATTTACAAAAAACACAAATCGAATAAACCTCTTATATGTCTGTCTCTCTGTCAGTGAGTGCCGGTCCAATTGGATGAGTTACGCGGTCCTGCGGTGTGGATGTCTCACATCACATGAAGCCCGATGAAGGCTCGCTCTGTTTCTGCTGCTGTTGTCACTGCGGCGGGTGGGCGGGCCGCTGAAATGAGGGATTGTGTGATCCAATGAAGCCTGCTGTCATCAGAGACTTCAGTCACCAAGCTGACATCATCCCATTGCCTCATTTCAGAGCAGAGTGACAAATTTGAAGAACTACTGATCATCTAAAAGAATTACACTTTCAGTGGCACCAGAGAGAAACTTGATCCACTTTTGCATAAATCATTACATCTAAAGTTTGACCCACCTTTTAGAATCAGTTTCCAACCTTTATTTTTTGGATTCTTGCCTGTGAAAGTTCAGATTTCAAGAGGTGATATTGGACACAAGTGTTTGGGTTTGAGTAGTTAAGGGGAGAAAACAAGCTTTAAGGGATTCGTCTCAAAGCAACGAGAGATTCTTGGACATTATTCCCTTTTTTGTGTCCCTCTTTTCTTTTTTCTGTCCTCACATCGCTGCTTCCTTCCTCCCTTCCTTGAGTTTTGAGTTTTGAGGATTTTTCAAAAGTTGTCCATTTCAGAAGTGTCTGCTCTAAAGTCATAACTAGAGTTTGTATTTTTTTTATATTTAGAAATTAATATAAAAGGACAGAGAATGAACAAAGGATGTTTGAAAAAGTGAATGTGGAAAAGTATAAACATTTGAGATTTAAAAGAAAGATAGCAGGAATGTAATAATAATCAAGCTCTGGCAAAACTAGGAGATGTGAAAGTTTCTCTGGCATCAGTGGTTCATGAAGTGGAGCTCTTCTGCCCCCTACTGATGGGAGTCTTGCCATTACATTTAACTGGATTGCAAGGTATTAGGCGATCACTGATTTAATATTGGGAATCATCACTTTTACGAGATGATTATTTAAAAAGGTTTTATTACCCAGAGAATGAGAGAAGTCCTCTTGGCACAAAATGAAAGCTGATAGAAATGACTTTAAGAACATCTGTGAACTCATCACTCTTAAAATTTCTAGGAGTTTACAAAAGTAATGAACCAAACTCATGTAGTTTAGTTATTTTCAGTGTTTCCGAAAACACAGTAAGGATCAAAATGATCCATATTCATGTCAAATTGAGGGTTACCAGTCTTTTTAATTTTTCGTCTGTCTGTCTTCTGACCCAAAGTAATATTAACATTTTAGGTTGCTTTTGAAACAAACATCTTCTGTTGGTCTGAAACATTGTCCTCAGTCTAATTTTTATACATATTTAAAAAGAGCTAGTAGTCTTACACAAGGGTTTATCTGGATTAGCTCCATTGCTGGAGGTTCAAATTTTTACCATTTTTTTTTAACTGCAGTCAGATGCCACAGAAAATGACTCCAAGGGCCGCAAACGGCCCTCGGGTCACACGTTGGACACCCCTGATCTACAGGCTTAATAGAAAAACAGAAGAATACCAGTGACGTTTTGGCCTGACTTGCAGATAACACTCCTAAAGATTTGGTTTTTTTTGGTCAGATTTGCTTCTCAAAGATGTTGTTGACATTTTTCTGGGAAGTTTAACCGAAAATTACAGAAAAAAACCCAAAACGGGGTGCAAGTAAACGTATTAACTGTAAATATGAAAACCTGTTAAATGTCTCATTCATCCCAACTCTGTGAGAACAGAGTCAGAATGTGACGCATGAAGAAGCGGAGACCCTTATTAAGAAACGCTGAGGTTTATTTTTGAGGTAAAACACAGAAGGGAAGCAAGTTGCATGCAAAGACCGTGTCGTCTGTCAGTTTGTCTGTTTTTGGGGGGGGTTTCCCCATGTTCCGCTGCATGTGACGCCCCGCGGCGTCCGCTCAGTCCTTTCCCAGAAAGCGGCTCAGTGGTCGCAGCCGAACAGCTCCAGAGACACTCGGTGCTGCTCGGGCAGAGCCCTGGCAACAACGAACTGCATGACGCTCTCGAAGTGGTAGAAGTGGCTTCCCCGGACCACCTTGACCCCGTCGGGGCCGCACATGGCGGCGTCCACCTTCGTCAGGACGGAGATGGGGCGCTTGTTGGCGGGGACGCGCGGCGTGGCGCGCATGTCCACGTCGTAGATGTCCTTACCTGCAGCAGGGAGGGAAACACAGGACAGGACGTATGATTTGGTCACGTATGGAAATTGATTGACGTATTTTTCCTGATCAATATGGAAGTAGAACAGAGTATTTCCTGTTGCCTGTAATTTATTTCTTTATCTCTTCCTAGTTTGCATCCTTTTTTCTTCCATTTTTCTATATTTCCATTCCTTCTTTCTTTTCTGCTCTTCTTGTGTCCTAATGCTCTTTTTTCATTCATTACTTTAATCCTTTATTCTTCCTTTCCTTTTTTCTTTTATTTTATTCCTCCTGTTTTTCTTCTTCCTGCTTCTGGTTGTTCAGATGCCATATTTACAGCACTTTAAAATGTATTTATATAACAACATAGTACATATATAGTTGATAGTATGATCACAGTAAGTATTAACAAACTGTAGTATTTTATAATTTGGAGTCTGAAAAAATATATATCTGAAAAATGATGGAA